ACGAATTTCTAGCGTAAAAATTACGTGCGGCGGTCTAAATGCCCAGCGCCATATGTGGCACTATCATCATCATCAGAGCTCCTGCTCATTTCTCCATGCGTTGCCTTATGCTAAATGCGCACTAGCCTGGCTAGCCCTATCGCCATCGCCAGTACCTTGTTTTCGATGTTTTTTTTTTTTTTTGCATGCTCGTTGAGCCAGGTTGAGCCTAAACTCGCCGCCTTTGTTTTGTTACGTCGACCGGCAACGTCGCACGATTGTCGTACGGCTTTCTCGTTTTAAAGGTTAGAGTGATTCGTTTCTGCGTTCGCGACGAGCTCCGGAAGCAGCGCGAAAAAGAAACGGAGGCAGTTTTCTTTGAAAGAAAAAGTGGATATTCTTTCTCAAGTGGACGCCGGTAAAAAACAAATCCACATTGCGAACGAGATGGGGGTTGCACCATCAACTGTCGCAACCATCCTGAAGGACCGACAAAAGATCCTCGAGCTGCACCGAGGGTCCCAACTCGCACCGTCAAGAAAACGGCTCCGACATGGGAATTTCCAAGAAGTGGATGCTGCAGTACTGACTTGGTTCAAGGACGCGCGTTCTCAAAATGTGCCGGTGTCGGGACCCATGCTGCAGGAAAAAGCCCGGCAATTCGCTGATGCTTTGGACATCACAGGCTTCGAAGCAAGCGCGGGGTGGCTTCATCGTTTCCGTGAAAGGAATGGAATCACCTGGCAAGTGGTGTCTGGTGAAGAGAAGGCGGCAGACGCAGCAAGCGCTACTGCATGGAGGGACGAGAAGTTCCGCGAAATCGTCGCTTCATACTCCGAAGATGATATATTCAATGCGGACGAAATGGCGTTCTTCTATCAAATGCTTCCTGATAAAACCATGCATTTTAAAGGGAACAGCTGCAAAGGCGGCAAGCAGTCCAAAGTCCGGATTACGGTATTGTTATGCTGCAATTCCACGGACACCAAGAAGCTGAAGCCCTTGGTGATCGGCAAATACAAGAAGCCTCGCTGCATGAGGAACGTTGTTTTATAGCCGTGCGATTATCGGGCTAATTCACGCGCGTGGATGACACGAGAGTTATTCTCTGAGTGGCTACTAAAGGTGGACGATGAGATGAGGAGCGCAGGTAGGATAATCCTGATTATCGCCGACAACTGCTCGGCGCATCTTGTTAATGTCAGGCTGACAAATGTACAGCTGGAATTCTTGCCTCCGAACTGTACGTCCTTGCTCCAGCCACTGGACCAAGGCATCATAAAAAGTGTCAAGGCCCATTACCGGACACGCCTGGTTCAGCGATTGCTAATAAATCTTCGGATGAAGCTGCCTACCTCCATCAATGTGCGACAGGCCACAGAAATGGTTATCGGGGCCTGGTGGAGCATTACATCAACCACCATCCAGAACTGCTGGAGGAAGGCAGGCTTGGTAGTATTAATGCCATCTGAATCTGAACAAGGCAGCGAAGAAAGCGACGCGAGTGGCATGTGGCAAGAAGTCGTCGAAAGACTCGCGATGGATGCCTCGGTGACGTTCGAGCACTATGTGCAGTGCGACGACGAAGCATGCTCGTCAGCCGAACTGACGACCGATGACATCGTCAGTGCTGTTTGTGGTGATAACAGCGACGAGGACGCCAATGGCGAAGACGACGCTGAGACCGCGCCCGTTAGCCAACCAGAAGAATCGCTTTCCAACGCCGACATCATGGAATGCGTGCGAAAGATGCGCACTTACCTTGGCAGGTGCAGCAATGCCACCGAAGCAGAGCATAAGAATGTGGACAACTTCGAAGCGTTCGTCCTGCGGCAGTTGAGCGGCACCCGCCAGGCCAAGATCACCGACTTTTTCAAATAAACGTGCGCTCATTCCAGAACACTTCGCGTTTTGTTTCTTTTCACGCTCGTCATAAAATCAAGTGTTTGCGGATGTGTACACAGCAAAGGTAGGCGACTCCTTTTGTTGCATTTACGATTTTTAATGCGAATTTTCGATGTTCTCACTATAACGATATTTCAAAATAACGAACTATTTTCCGCGGTCCCTTCAAATTCGTTGTATCGAGATTTCACTGTGTGTGTGTATATATATATATATATATATATATATATATATATATATATATATATATATATATAATATATATATATATATACAAGAAGGAAAAAAACAACCTAAGAAAACTATGGACCGACCCCACGAAGGGAACCCTGATAGGATGTGAAGCAGCAGTGGTGCGCACGGTGTTGACCCGGTTAAAACAGGCGTCGACACGAGTGCAGGAAGAGCGGTTTTAAGTGACACTCAGCGTAGCGTTTAATTGAGTAAATGTTTGTTTGAAACGCAAAAACACGGAAGGCGGGACGCGTTGAAGACGCTGGCGCTCGGCTTCCTTGGCTCGCATCTCGTTGGTGTCACCCGCACGCCGTCTGTATTCTTAACTATCGCTGTTCTTGACTCGTACTTGGTCGGTGTTGATGCGCCATTCGTGAAAGTGATTGAGTTCACTAACTCTCGGAACGCCGGCGACAGCGGGGAAGGGTACGCACACACTAGCAGGAAGCATGTCACGACGGCGTCTCGCCTGTGAGCACAATCGTGCGGCAAGCAGCAATGCATTGTCTATATTGTCGGCACTGCGAGATTCTCGAGGCGCTCGCAGCACACATAACTGCCCATTCGCGATTTTTCGCCGACAGATGCGGAGACGTGACGAGAGAGATGATGCCCATGTGAGGAGTGTGCTCAAGCATTGCCAGCGGTGGAGAGGGTGAAGCGAGAGAGCTAACGGCAGACGAGGGAGGCGACACAGCGCACTGCTAGAAGGGCATGAGCTACTAGGCACCGCTTCAACACCTGCAGCGAGGGGAGTGGTGCGGACGAAGGGACAGCATTACACAGGCTAGTCAAAGGGCTGCTTTGCATGTAAAAGACTACAACATGCGGAAATGAACGTGGGACCTATGAATTGTGAGTGCGAGGCATCAGCCACTGAGCCACGAAGGATCGCCTCCTTCAACGTTCAAACAACAAGCTATTTATATCTACCACTGGTGACAGGAATCTAGGGAGGAACTATCGTGTTTTCAGCATCACCAGCAAGATGGCGCAATGAGTGCGCATCGCCATGCCCCGACGCGGCGGCGCGCGCTTTCATCTTTCACGCACGCTTTGCCCTGTAGAGAGGGGCAGGGTGGACGCTCACGCATAAGCTTATCTCACAGTGGGTACAATCGTACGTCTTGGCTGGCCTTGGACTTTCACCAGAACGATTCTGTTGTAGTTACCAGGCGGACAAAGGTCACTAAAATCGTTGCACAGTCTCCTCCGTTTGTGAAAAAAGCGCACTTTTCAGACACAGCGAAGTAACAACTGAGTCGCTTATTCGAGTTCATCTGTACCTGTGAGTAAGTTTCATGCTTCATTTGTGCGTGAGAAACGCAGGGCACATTTTGGTCTGCTTGCCATTTTGCGCGTGACCTTCCAATTTGTTGCTATCGAGTTCATTGCTTCGCCTTTGTGGCAAAGCTGTGACTTTTTTATTTTGACAACACTGAAATCATGAAAAATCATACATTGATCTTCAAAAGATGTATTAGCCATTAACCATAGTCAGTCCCACTAGCCGAGTTGATTCAAGACAAGAATGGCCACCTCAAAATGGCCACCCCTGTGTTGACACTGCTGGCATGCTGTTCCCGTCTTATAACCATGCCAAGCAATGCTTGAAGTGAAAAGGTATTGAATTGGGGAAGTCCATGACAGAGAATTTCGTTGTGAGGAAGTGCTGAAAATCTTGCTGGCCTCTTATTTTGGAAAACTATATCCGAATGTCTATTGTACCTTTATCCGTAGTAAACGAAGCCAGATCAAGGGAACAGAGAGGGAGATCAGCATATGCCGCAAATTATAATGTAATATACGAATGGCTGCTGTAAGCAGAAATGTCTAACGAGGTTATACAGTAACTTGCTTGTATTTCAATTGCTTATGAGTGCACCAAGGCACCTTGTATAATTTGCCTTATTCAAAGCATAGTCTATTTGAAAAATGCGCATCAGACGTCCCTGCAAATTCGAGAATGACTTGTTTTTTACACAATAATCCTCTCCCAAGTAAAACAGCACCCGTGCAATTTTTGCACTGCAACAAGTAATGTACAACTGGAGGACAAAAGGCTTTGCTTTGCTGTCACTAACTGGCACTGCTTTTGTTAAAGGGGCCCTGAAACACTTTTTCAAGTAACCATAGAATAAATTCAATAAAAGAGCTTATTGCTCTGTGAATTCAACACCAGTACGAGTGGAGTTACACGCTCCAATCGCATTCTCTTTTCTCTCGTCCCGATGAAAGCACTGGAAGCAAAGCAGGGAGAGATGACAGGGGCAAAAAAAATACGTCACATGCACCTCATGACCTTGAGCACTTTTCATTTTTTTTTTTTTTCTTCGGACACTCTGCTTTTTCAGTGCGATTGCGCGTGCACGCGTGGAAAAGTCGCGGTTTTCCGGGGCGATCCCTGTAACGAGCGAGCTCGCCATGTTCGAGTCAGCCAACGGATGATAGATGGCCGAGTGATTTTTGAGCGTCTTTCTTTATTTGTCGAGAGAAGAGAAAGCGATTTTTAGCTGATTTTGACAATTTGTTTTGAATTCCAAGCGGCATGCTGCGCTATAATATTTGGCTCGCGTGTTCTCAGAAGCCTCTTCTACTGATCCGCACTGTTTTCTGACCATGTTCAAAATATGTTGCAGGTCCCCTTTAAGAAAGACAAGTAGAGGAAGGGGAAAAGGTTCAAGAAAAGACTGTCCACAGGTAAGAGTCAAAATAACATTGCATTCTGCATGCTTAAGTTATTAAAAAGGTCAAAATGTCAAAATAAAGAAAAAAAGAGAAACGCAAATAAGTGAATGTTACTTTTATGGGATCAAGAAAAAAATTAACGCAACTGCTTTTTTAACCACGATTGAAATGTTTGGTTCACAAAGACCGCCCACCTTGAGTGACTGTGTCCGCCTGAACCGCCTCTCGAGACGAGTTCCTGTAGGAAGCTTGATGACGAGGTGAATGCTCCCAGGGTCCGAATCTGGAGGCTCCTCGGGGATCTGGTCCACGAGCTCCAGCTTCATGCGCTGAATCTCCTATAAGGGAAGTAAGTAGCAGTACCGTATTACTCGAATGTTGATTGCACTTCTTTTTTAATAAAAAATTGACTGAACTTCGGAGGTGCAATTATTATGCGAGCAAAAATTTTGCTAGAAAAAGCTACTTACAGGTCAGAATCCTTTCGTTATCTATTTTATGCATAACCAAAGCATCAGGCACACCTTAGCATAAAGTGCATAAGCCCACTTCACTTTGCATGTATTTCTTGACAGATAGCCTGCCACATACACTGACAATCGCGAAAGCCATAAAATAAGAACTCATGATAAAATCACCTTTTTTTGTAATCTTCGATGCCTTTTATCTGCACTATATCAAAGTAGCTTCCACTGAAATAGCAATGTGCCCGAAAAGGTAATTTAATTAGCGTGGATAAATCGAATACAACTCGAAATGACATAGAGAACCCTGATGGGATGTGAAGCAGCAGTGGTGCACATGACGTTGACCCCGTTGAAAAGGGCGTCGACGCGGGTGCTAGTAGAACGGTTTGAAACAGAACTGAGTGTAGCATTTACTTGAGTCAATGTTTGTTTGAAACACAAAAATACGGGAAGCGGGTTGGGTTTCATGTAAGTTTCATCTCAGATTAACGAGCCGAAAGAGTGTTGCCAATCGACGTGCAGTCAAGCGTTGCGGGTTGTGGAGAGGGTGAAGCAAGAGGAAAGTGTGTCGCGAGCAAGCGGAGGAGCCGGCAGCTGCGGGCGCTGCGCCAAGCGTGCAACAGATGAGAGAGAGAGACATCAGCATGCACCTGTGAGAGAAGTGTGTGAGGGAAGAGTGATGTCAACGCACAGTTGCGACATGACCTACTTTGAACTGCTCCAACACTAGCGGCGAGGGGAACGCGTTGCGGCACGTTCGTGCGGATGTACGTACGTACAGCTTTACACACGAGTCAAAGAGCATATTGTTTTCCCCACCGCTGAGTACTACCATCTCATATGCATACAAAATTTCCACATTTCACTTTGCCATTCTCACCCTCCTTAGTACATATAAAGTCTGATCTTAATTGAAAGTGATCGTCTACGGCACCTGATCTGGATCTAGCCATATCTGGATAAGCCCTGATGGCAAATGAAAGAGCCCGTGACAGCAGTACTTTATGGGCTTTGCTTCCAATCGCTATGGCTTTATTGCTTGCTCATTAGTGGTACAATGAGTGAGCTACGTAGTTGCTACTTCGCAACTGTTACATGGTGCATACGTTCGAATTTCATTGCAACTTTTTTTAATGGTTTTCAAAACATTTCATTTTCAGGGATATGTTATGTTAAACGTTTCTGCTTAACGTTTGACGTCACTCTCTGCAATTACGTTCTGCAAATTTGTTGGCCTAACATGTGGCAATGCTTTCGAAATTTTTGGGAAGTATGACATTTACACGCGAGGAGCAAATAATCTAAAGCTTGAGCAATACTGAACAGCGTATTTCGCTATTTTTTTCGCTTGAAAGAACAGCGCCACAAGTGCTAAGTAATAACGGTTTATCAAAGAAAACTATTCTCAGCATGTAGCCTAAACTTTTCAGACCTATAGCTACAATAGTTCTTTTTTTGCAGAATCTCATCGAAATCCCAGTTTTGTGAAATTCAAAAGAAACAGTTGCAGCTCAGCGGACACTTCTGAATTGTTTTCAAGAAAGTAAAATTTTTTTAATCGTAACTGGAAGTAGTTTTTGGGGTCCTGAGAACTCAGAAAATATTTTTTTTTCTCTTGGCAAAATTAAAGGCGGTTGACGGACATGCACTGACATTTTTATCAGAACACAGCCCAAAATAGTTAATTTTTAACAATATATCTTATGCAAGAACATTTTTTATTTGCTTCGTTATAGCCGATGTTGCTTTATATCTGGGTTCGTGATATCGAGGTTTGAGTGCATCCGGGTTCGTTATACCGAGGTATCAGTTTAGTATGTAAGCGCCAAGCGACTTCGGCACAGTTATGCAATCCTGGGGATAGACATTGCCACAGCTTCCAACAGTCTGCACAGAGCCAAGGTTGCCTACACAACACACAAGGCAGCTGACACAACACCGGTCAAGTGAGCTTGCGACCGAGTCTGACCTCTTTCCTTTGCTGCTCTTGGAGGGCTTGCTCCTGCTGGCGCTGCTCCTCCTCCTGTTGCCGCCTGACCTCCTCGAGGCGCCGCCTCTCCTTCTCCTGGTCAGCGAGCAATGAGGCCTGGTATGCCTCGTCTTGTTGCTGCCGCAAGCTCTGCGTCAAGGATCGCTCGTCCCTGTGTCCACAAGAGAGAGAGAGAAAAGTGCTTGGGCAGAGGACTAATGACTATTGTAATCAAGTGAGTAATGTCAAGCAAGTTGCTCATTACTTTCCCGATTACCTTTGACTAAATATACAACAATATCGCTGCTGCCCTTGTGCCATAAAAGGTTGGCTAGAAAAGGAAAGAAAGATAACAAAGACAAGTTCTTCTGTATGCCAAACCCAGAGCGAGGGAACAATGTAGGCCTACAGCAAAGCCACATAGCATCCGAACATAAAGCAGTGCTTTAGCGCATAACTGGTGAACTATTGAAGCAATGTCATTACTTTTCAAAAATATTATAGTTGAGCTTTTTTACAGTTGAACCCTTTTATGAGAGACATGCTCCAGGGAGCAGCTCTTGTCACTTACATGAGCTGTCTCTTACAAACAGTGCTGCAAGGTCACTAATTTTCGATTAACTCCTATTACAATGCAGGCGCACTGGTGTCTGTTCTTCCCAATTGTATCTCACTTCAATGTGTCTTATAACAAAGTATAACTGTGTAAGACAGATTGACGTGAAGATGATGATGATGATGTTTAATGGCGTAAGGACCATTTAATAGCCAAAGAGCGCCAGTTCATCTTACTAGAGATATGGGCAATGCTTGTGATAAGCAGCTGTATAAGGGCCATAAAATTCCTCGCGCTAAGGCGGGTAAAAACATAGAATAAAATCATGACCATGCGTGAAAGGTGTGTGGTGTTAATGGATGACAAAAGCTTGTGATAATAAAAGCGATGGTGGACATGTATGGCATTAGCACAAGTGCCTCACTAGTTCACACTCTTGCATCCAAGGGCCGTGAGGCAAGTGCTTTGTTGAGTGTAGCCACCGCAGCAGAGACCTGTCTGGAGAGGTCGTGCAACAGAATGCCCAGGTATATGATGTGAAAAGTACGAACTTCTCTTAAATAAGCTAACAATGATTTATGGGTAAAAAGTGGTTCACTACCGACAAACATTGCAGGATGGACTGGTATCTGTTGTCGGTAGGGTAACAAAAAGTGTTGTCTTCTCAGGGTGTCTAATTCTTTACACTGGATTAGAATGTGAAGTACGGTGAGTGCTTCTCCACATCTGTCACACAAAGGTGGATCGCCCCAAAACAAATGAAATGAATGTGTTGTGTGTGTATGTCCTGTTCTCAACCTTGAAAGGATTACTCCTATGTGGCGTGATTTTGATACTGGCGGCCAATGACTAAGTTGCGGCTTGATGACATGCAATTTATTACCCATGTGTGTGTATCCCATGTGCTCTGCCAATAATCCCTGAGCTTTTGTTTTAGAAAAGGTTTCAAGTCGAGTGCAGGTATTGGTATTGGTGTATCGGTAGCGGTTTGGTTGGCGGATACAGCTAGCTGGTCCACCAGAACGTTGCCTTGAATTTCGCGGTGTCCTGGCACCCAGCAGACTACGACATGCTGCTTGGATGAGTAGACAGTGCATAAGAGCGAATAAAGCGAGACAATGGCAGGGTTTTTGTGTTTTTTAGGTGTTTTCAGAGCTTTTACAATGCTTAGGAAATCTGTATGTGTTATTGCCTTGTATAGTTTTATTTGTTTAATGTGTTTAACGGCCGCAAGTATCGCATAAGCTTCACCGGTGAAAATGCTTGTATCCGAGTGCAGAACGCCGGCTTCCGTAATGAATGGGCCGACGAATGCATACGAGACAGAAGTGTTAGACTTTGAACCATCTGTAAAGAACTCAGGACATGTGTATTTATGTTGTAGTTCAAGGAAGTATGTCTGGATATGTGCGATTGATGCATGCTGTGTAACCTCCAAGAAAGACACGTCACAATCTATCGCCTGCCACTGCCACGGTGGCAGGCCTACTACGGGAGCCATCAAACGGTGTTAAAGTGGCACATCGGTTTCCTTCGCTAGGCCCCTCACACAGAGTGAGTTGGGCTGTCTCATAGAAGGCCGTTTTTCAAACACAGCGAGGCTTGACATGTCATTAATTGTGGAGTGCGATGGGTGATCCTTGTCTGTATTTACATTAAGATAATATTTAAAAGACATGTAACATCTTTGAGGTGGAACTACCATTTGTTCGATTCCACGTGCAGGCTTTCCACGGGGCTAGTAGGAAAAGCACCCGTAGAGAGGCGGATGCCTAGACGATGAACAGGATCAAGCATTTTAAGTGCAGTAGGTGTCGCAGACTGATATGCTATTGCCCCATAGTCTAAGCAGGTACGTATGAGGCTTTCATACAAATTCATTAAAAACTTCTTGTCGCTTCCCCACGTAGTGCGTGACAACATTTTTAGAACATTGATGGCTTTTATGCACTTGTTTTTTAAATACAGTCGAGCCTACATATAACGGCCCCACTTAAAACGAACTTTCGTTTAAAACGAACAATATTCGCGTGACCGTGAAAATATACATTGGTTCAATGGCACGAAACCGGACTTACAACGAACGTCTCCGAGCGCCGCTGATCGGTTACAGCGAATGGAGTCAACAGTCTGCCGACTTCCTGGGAAACCAATTTCGACCACCAATCAGGCATCGGTGAGGAGCCCATACATTCTATTGTTAAACGCCGACCCCTCCTCCACGACCCTCTAGTTGCCACTCTATCAGCCCATGGAGGAAGGAAAGTTGTTTCCTTCCTTCATGCCCCTACTGCTTTTGTTACACACCCCTCCGTCCTTTGTCCCCCCGCTACTCTGAGCACACCGCATCGCCAGAAGAGGCCCATGTTTTCACACTGCCACCGATCTTTCGAAGACCGGTCAGCCATCTACCCAGTTTTTGATTGCTGGTACTGTTGTTGGCGTCGCCGGCCTGGAGTGACCAGACCATTTGCCAACATCGTCGGCCACCGACTGTATCCGATAGTCTGTGTCTAATGCACGCGCACACGCTACCCCACCGGCACTGATAATTTGGGATTCGATTCGTGTTTAGGACTTGTTCTTACTCACTTCGCACTCACCTCAGCACGCCTTCCGCGCACGTGCGGAAGCACGAGAACGGCTGTTAATTTGCGCGGAACGAATTGCTATCTATCGAAGTTGGTGAGCCCACGCAACCCACCGGCGCAACAAAACGATTTTTTGACCACGGCCGTCGATTCTTCGAACACTGCCGCACGCATCGATCCAGGCGGCCATGCTTTGAATTCTGCGCGCACAGGCACTCTTTCAAAGTTTTTCTACGTGCGAGTTTGCGGACCTTTTAAGCGAGCTACCCAACCTGCCTCCTTCCCGCGTGTTTTCGTTTTCAAGGTCGCCCTCCCGCTGCATCGTCCCCTCTCTTTATCGCAACTCCTTGCCCTTCTCTCACAAGTCTGCTCTCCTCTCTTGATCACAAACTCCTTGCCCGTCTCCACCGTTCCGCGACGCCCGCCATGCTGGCTCGAATTAGTTTCGTTTTCTGGCTGGAAACGGGCCCAGATCTGTACCACGCGTTCTGGCAGGCATGTTGCGTGTGCACTTCTTGCTCGCCTTGGTGTGCGTGTGTGGTCAAAATGGCAGACGAGAGGCCTTCCACGCTTTTTCCTGCCGCTCAACAAAACGTCGAAAGTGTGACCGCTTGGCTTGAGCGTAATCCGCACGTTAGGTGCCACGTTGTGGAGCGCTTGCTCATAGCTATTGCCCACCTGGCAGCCAACTTGCCGCTTCGGGCGTCCCGGTATGTAGCTGTGAAGACGGTGAATATTTCGTGGGCGGCGGTGACGGCTACATGCGCGCGAAACTGTTTTCGCGAGGCCGACTTCGTCGACGTCGGGCCCGATGCCGAGCCTGAAGCTTCCGAACTGGACCACTGCGGCGGCAATTTGTGGCAGGGCGTCGTCGACTCCGACCTGGGAGAGCGGGTGGGACATCTGTTGCGATGGTTTAATTACGGCCGGCGATGATGCCGACACTGCGGAACTGTGCACGGATTAGGGCATTGTGAATGAAGTACGTGACGTGATCGATTTGAAGGAATCGGATTGCGAGAACGACGAAACTTTGGAGTCAGTGCCTCATGCAGCTTATGCCACGGGCCTCGGCGAAAGAACAGCTTGCCATTTTAAATGAACTCGATACCGCCCTCATATGCTTCTCCTATTTGAAACACGTGCATCACGGACTTTTGGGGGCATGAAAAGTTTGTGTTTTCACGCGCAACTTTTTTTTAAAAGACGTGTTTCATTTACTACGAACTTCGGGATACAGCGAACGGATGCCACATCATGCCCAGGTTCGTTATAAGCGGGCTCCACTGCACTTGTTAGCGATGATATCTGACTACACGCTCTTCCACTTTTGATATCTTGCGGTCGTGTTGATGTGTAACACATACGCGATATGAAAAGATGCCCTCATTGCGCTTTTTCCGTGCTTCGAACTAGGCGACTGCAACTCACCTGCAACTCAACGATTCCCCGACATGCTGACCGACAAGCACACGTTTAAGCATGCTCTTTTCTTTCGCCATTCTTTTAAAGGTAGTTTCTATCTTGATAATTTCATGAAATCACTCAAACAGGTGCGATGAAGATCAGACACGACGAGCCACGGCTGGGCTAGGCTGCACCTGCGTGCGCTAGCCCGGCCGTGGACGAGCGAGTGCGTTTCGGCACTTCGGCGCCAGTCGGCACCACGATAAGAACACTCGGATCGTACACGTCATCGGTACTAGGGCATCGTCACTCAGAATGGTATTTGTAGAATGTATCACACCGAACACGTAGCACTAGTGTCGATGTCGCAGGGCAGTCTATTTTTCGTTTTTTCTCCTTAGCTTTTCTACGCTGTTTGACATCGAATTAAAATGACTTCCACGCGACGGATGCTGTTCAAATTTGGCCAAGAAGACCTATGCATACCAAGCGATCAAATGATGGGCACATCTCAATCTTGAAATTTGATGTGAGTGCTCCTTTAAGGTTGCATCAGTTAGGTGCGTCAACAGGTAGCACAACTACTGGGCAGCTTACCGAGAGTGCGCCTGTAGGCAC